CGGCACCATTCAATGGGCGGGGGCCAGGACAGAACCAAAACACAGAGGAAAGGCGGGTTTATGCTCTCTCTCCTGGAGCGGGAGCACCCTTGTCCTATCCTTTGACATCAGAACTCCATGTTCTCCAGCCTTTGGAATACAGGAATTACACCAGCAGTCCCCGGGTCCTCAAGCCTTTGGCCTCAGACGAGAGACTGGCTTCCCTGAGGCTTTTGGACTTGGATTCAGCCACACTATCAAAATCACTGGGTCTCCAGCTTGCGGTCAGCCAGTCATGGGATTTCTCAGCCTTCATAATCACGTGAGCCAGTTCCCCTAATAAATCCCCCCTCATCTCTCTATCCATCCCTCCATCCATCCTACTGGTTCTCTCTGGAGAACGCTGAGTAATGCACCCTGGCTACTCCTATTACTGTAGGAATTAAGTTCTTTATCTCTGACCAGGAGCCCCATGTCTTCCGCCAGCATCCACAAGGCTGTCGCAGGTTACCTTGTGAGCCTGCAAGTAGAGTAAAATCTCGGAACGTTCCTAGTTCCTGACAAACCCTTAAAGTCATTAGGAGTCTTAGGAACACAGAGCCATCCAGAATCCAATGTGTGGATGGTCCTCATAGAAGACTGTGCAACTGAGTCTTTAATAGGTCTCTCTGTCCTCTTTTATGGCTGCCACAGTAGAAGATGATGCTCAAAAGAATTACAGACTAGGACTGTGGAAACCTGGAGCACCCAGTGACCAGAACCTTCCCACAAGGAGCAGACAGATGGGCATGTTTCCTAAATGGACTTTTGAGCTTCCATATCCTCCAAAAGACAGGACTACACTATCATAATTCCTGATGATGATCATAATTGTGTGATGGGCCAAAGACACACTTCTGAAAGAAGCAAGGCTCATGGCAGTTGTACGCAGATTAACACATTTCACGAACATCAAACTCTGAACTAAATTTAGGGTTCTAATCAATTACACTTACAACAAATTAAATCTGACATTTAATGGTATGCCTGAGTTGTTATCCTGCAAAAATGAATAAGCAGATCATGCATATAACTATAACTGGCGTTATTTTAAAATATTAGTCANAAAAATGAATAAGCAGATCATGCATATAACTATAACTGGCGTTATTTTAAAATATTAGTCATAATATTTTAACATAAACTGGAAGGAAGAAACGGGAGAAATAGAAGTTAGCTGCTCTAAAGCCACTCTGGACATCTCTGGATCTACATATAACCCAAGGAAACTGAGGCAAATGGCTTTCAGGCCTAGGTTATCCTGAACTGGGGTTTTCAGTGGTGTTGGAGGGGCTCAAACAGCTTCCTTAATAATGTTTACACGTATGTGTATACAATATCCCTTGACCACAGGGATGACCCACCATTTGATTCTCCATTACTCCTCTTTAATTAACAACTAGATTTCAAAATCACTGTATCATTACATAATTTGTTCATCATACCTGTATGATGCCAAGCCAAAAGAAAATCAAATCTCAGTGGCTTCTTTTCTTTGAAGGACCAAGATATTCTTTCATACTTCTTAGAATTTGGGTTCAAGGATAAATCCATCAAATCAATGGAAACAACTTAAAAAATGGAAAAAGAAATATATATATTTCAATCATACATACATAGCTTGCACTGTGGAAAAAAAGTGTTATATTAAAAAAA